TTAGGAGGCCCTCTTGTTGTTTTGGTACAAAGTCCCTAAAATCTCAAAGCCATAGCTGATTATCGTACCAAAGGTCAACACTTCTATACGTCATCGTAGTATAGTATGCCACGTCATCTACCCCGGCTTGCATATAGCATTAAAATTAAAATTGAAGAGATGATCTATATGCTACAATACATAGACTTAGCATGAACATTTGAAGAATAAAAATTTTGAGAGACATAAATTACGATCAAAAAATATTTGAAATGGATGATAATCGGCATGTCTTTTGTTGACCTAAAGCTCTTTCTTGGATTAGGTAAATGAAGTCATCCCCTGCACAGCATATGTAGAAGAGCTCGACCCAAACACCAAAGCCATAGCTTAGCCTAGGTGTTTGGTACCACATCAACACGTGTCTCAATACTTTCTAACTTAAGTAAAGCCAAATTATTCAGGTCATTAAGAATGGGATTAAAGATAATGACTTCAAGAAACCAAATATTTAATTTCAAAGCTTTCTAGGCAAACTCAAGATGTGTTGAAAGCTAATTGGACCCAGCAGCTGAAATCATGGCTGGTGGCCAACACTCACTGCTAAAGTAGGGCAAGCAAAAGCAGATTTATGATAAACAAGAGCTTTGCTTTGTGTTTTGTTTCCCTTTAAAAAGTGGGGCTCGGGTACATCAATGTCAGGTCACCAGCAGCCAATCTATTCATGGCATTGGCAAACAACTTTTGGGGCACTTCCGCTTTTCATTTGTTTATTTTCTTCTTCTGGAACTTCATTATCAAAAGCAGATACATCACCCCATTTGCGTTTAAGATTCTCTTAATCCTTCTGTTAATGTCAACAACAAAATCCCTCATGTTCCTCATATGAATTTTCTGGTTTGACTCATTGACTGTGGTAGGCACAATTTACAGGTAGATCTGAAGACTTGTTGATTTGTTAATTAATTAATTAATTATTAATTAATTAAACTATATACATTTAGTACAAATGCAGATGCATAAAATCTCATGATGGGTATGGTTTAATACATTTAAAGCCACAAAATCTAGTGGGTTGAGTGATATATAGATTATTGGCAGATTCAAGGGGCCAGCCTGATTAAAATTAGGCCATGAAATGATTGACCTAATAGCTTTAGCAAATCTAGATATAATGGCCAAATATATATTGGCATGCGTTTTAAATACAGGAAAATAACATTATTGTTCATGCCCCGTCACCTATTTTGGTGAAGTAAATTATTTGAGCAAACTGATCATGGAGATTATTGTATGTAAATTATATTAATTAGGTAACGATAGATATTGGAAGTTTAAATAATTATTAGTTAAGTAATTAAGAGTATCCGCAATCATGCTCTTTCTTTTTGAAGTTAAAATTTAGCTAAAAACACAACGACACAAAAACTATTTTAGGAGCTTTTTATAAAATTTAAACTCCTAATTTAAGGAGTCATAAATACTATAATTATTTTTAACGTCAATATAATTGGTCTATCTCTATAAAAATAAAAATAAAGGTCTCCCTATTTTAGGAGGTGGATAAGGAGTATGGTTGAAGTTGTATTTTTCTAATTCCTCTCTAAAATTTATCTAAAAAAATGATTTAGAGAGCCCATTACTGATAGACCGGATACCTTATTGAGGTTTAGGATTTTGTTAACATTAATGCCAACACTTTAATCTGAAAGGTTTGCCTAACTCTGTCGGTACATATAGAACAAACAAGAAGATGCTAATTGTGTGCTTTGAAAACTGAAAGAAGTCGTGATCACTTTAGTTGAATTATATGCCACGAAATAAATCTAAACGATCAATCAATCCCTCTCTCTCTCTCAATAACCACAATTACTAAAGATGGCTGGCATGCGTTATAATGAATAGACACGTGTCCGCCCTCGGACATTTGTTATTGTTAAGGCTTGCAATTTAGTTTTCATCAATCCAACAAGTCATCAGATAAGATTAGGTCGCTTGGAGGGCATGTTAAATCACAATGCCTCATCTCTCAAATAAGAAAGGGACAACAGATAATGTCGTGAATCATAATGTTACGGTCAATCATGTATAAGTGTGCGAATGAATTTGGCACATTATAACACATGCATTCATAACGCGATAATTTAACTATATACACACGTGTAAGATTGAAGTAGGCACAAAAAATGTAGTGAACCTACCATAGTTAGATAAGAAAGATTGGGATCTCTTGTACACGAAGTAGACAAGTCTAACTTATCCCATAAGCACATCTTAAACATCTTAAGAGATCCCATGGAGTAGTTGCTAGCTCTTTGATCCAGCTAAGATTTAAAGCTTGAAGTGAGTCCTTGCAGCTATGGATATGTGCTGATTCAGCAAACAAATAAATGGTTTACAAGCACCGTATGCCTAGTAAACTATCCCCAACACATGCCCACGTTGATATGCATACCTAAATTAGGAAAGATATCACTGTCATATACTCACATTGTGTTTGTCGGTTTGTGTGACCTATATCGATCTTCTTTGCACACCTATATACATGATTTACCAAAAGAATCTATACATATGTTATATGATATCATGCATATATATATATATATATATATATATATATATATATATATATATATATATATGCATGCATATGTCTTTCTCATTATTCAAGGGAGCGTACTTAATAAAATAAGTTCATATTGAGTTCGAGTTAAATTTTTATTTTATTTTATTAACGTCGGATCAGGTTGGGAGTAGATTTATAATTTCTCGAAGTTAAAAAATGAACCAAAGAATAAAGATAGACATGGAGTATCATGACACCAATAATGTTCATCATCACCTCTCATAAGATGCAATCTAAATTTCAAAATATAAAGTTGAGTAGCCTACAAGTTATATAAGATTTAAAATATTTGCAAGCGAAAAGGATAGAGTATTATATTTGACATCTTTTCCAACATTGGAATGAGTTATATGATCACAACATTCAAATTAATGCTTGTTAAAGAGATTTGCAATGATCTTTTTTTTTTTCCGTGCACATATATGCATAAAAGGTATATCAATCAACAGTTATCAATTACCCACCGTATAGTCAAATATCAAGATAAATAAGGAGGATTTGAACACCCGAAATCTAATTCTCCACCCAGGCCATCTAAATATACTCACAATTTGTGGACCATACTAACTAACCATACATATATGGTTCACATCAAGAAATTTTAGTACAATAATGCAAAGGTTCATGGTCAACAAGATGAATGTTGGGCATATGCCGAAATTATTGAACCATTTGTCTCTACGGATCTTCGCACTCGAAAGACAAACCTACAAAATATAGTTGGAGGCAAGCTGGAAGGTTTGGGTTCTTTTCAAAGCTTCGAGAAAGGGCAAGCGTCTCCTTGTAACGTTCGACATGTGGCTCCTAATTATAAGTAGAAATCGAAGCCTAATTTTCTGGCTATGGATTAGTAGAAATAATTGAGGTGACATGGCCCTAACTATATTGCGTTAGCTAGGTCTTACAATAAGGGAAGGGAATCTTTACTTTCCCGATATAGCTTTTTATGTGCTAATTAATTAGATTGATCCCGTGTTATCTAATCCACCCAAAGGTTGGTGCGCACACAAAATACAGCACATTGGTCTAATTTGAAAACTCTGCACCGTAGAGTGTGGAAAAGATCTTGGAGATGGCTTTTCACGTTCCTCCCTCCTCTTATATGTTTTTTCGGTGGTGGGGGTGGATTATGCTTCTAACATTTGCCCCAACCAAAGAGAAAGCATCATGTTCTTGTGTTAATTTGTGGACATTCTTTTCCATTGAAAAGATGTATTTGGATCAAATAGGAAACACACAAACACAAATGATGATGTTATGCAAACCAATTATATGTGTGTGTTTTCCTTATATTCACTCTTGATATAATATAATAAGGTGTCGAGGTCTAGATCATTCATTCGTCCATGTGTTATAAGTGATTTCGATTAGTGCGCTATTTGTGCTCCATCTCTACACGCCTTCCACGCTATAGAGTTGAGTACATTTATCTCCAAAGTTTATGTAAAGTTAGAAGATTTCGAATCCCCATATCTCATTGATCAAAAGTATTACTATAGCCATACACACACAAATTTACTGTTTCCAAGTCAACAATAGTGGAAGCAGGTAAAAGTCACACATAAGTACTATTGTAACATGTGGGTGGAATTAATTCATTTACATTTCCGGTTCGATTCCGACTTTTTTTTTCTCATTTCTTATGAATTAAAAGTATTACAGTGTGACTTTTGTAAATATTTTTAAACGTTTATTTATATCTCATACATATCATAACTTCGCGTAACGTATTCTTTTAATTTTTCCCATCCAACCATTAAAATAAAAGATGAGAAAAAGAGGGTAAATCATGTTGGTAGTCAAAGCTGACGAGGGATGACGAAGATCATCTTGACACCAACAAAAATCTAAAAGAGGTGAAAGCAAAAGATTCGTGGTTCATAATAGTTGGGTTAGATATGTGATATCTCAATCAGTCAATAGCAAAGTTGTAAATGAACAGTCCCACTATCCAACCATACAAGTCACCAATACAAAATAATACCCATTTTGCCCATAAATTCCCCTGAAAACAACAGAAGCAAACATCCTGGTTGGGCTACTTTTGATAATTTCCTTGTATTTTGGTTTTGTCTATTTTCTATTTTCTTTCTACATTGGGCTTCCCCGATCTGATGGATATCTGATAGGCTGAAACCAATCCACAAATCAGCAAATTGCTAACTCCAACCAGAGCGTGTCATTTTCCAAACACTCAGCTCACGAAACACGAGGGCATATCAGTCAAATCCCTCCATGGATCTTACCTTTCTTCTCCAATCACGGAGACAAAGAAAAGAACAAAACACAATCCAACGTCCCTCAGGAATCTAAGCCCGAGGCCACAATCTGACCGTCCATCTGGAGAAAAACGTTTCATGCCAATTATAGAAACCCGAAACACTTGTGGCGTCGTGTCCACCTTCTGGAAGCTGCACTCAGTCACCAAAAACACTCTCTTCTGGCCTGACACCTATCGCCCTCCCATTGGCAGGCTTGCAGGGCCCAATCAAAACCCTCTCGCAGCTCTCAATCACGTGGGCCCCGAAACATCACAACGCCACGTATCGGCTCCCAGCCAATCCCCTCTGTCCTACCTTCGCTGTTGCTGTACCTGTTGACACACGTGTCTTTTTCCCACACGTGTCTCCTCCCACGTCGCTCTTATAAATCCCATATGCCCTCGCCACCTCCATTGCTGAGCTATCAGCTTTGAGTGCGAGACTAAACAACTCTGCCCAAAAAAAAAACTTGGGTTTTGAAGAGAGAGAGAGAGATGGATGGGAGAGGAGGGTGTTGTATAGCGAGGTACGGAGGAGAATATGATATGTCGCAGGTGGATAGGATAATGTTGAGGTTCAGACCGATTGCTCCGAAGCCGGTCAACGGAGGAGGATTGGCTTCCGGTGGGTCAACGCCGGAAAACGGTGACGTTTACGTTAAGAGTGGTAGGGGGAGGCGGAAGGGGAGGGGGAGGGGGAAGAGAGTTCGGAGGTGTGTGAAGCAGGGTTGCAATAATAATAATAATAATAAGATCAGTAAGAGAAGGAGATCGTCGAAGGGTTTGGGTGAGGAAAAGACGGTTGTGACCCTGCCTCTGTTGCCGGAGACCCCTGAGCCAAAAGGCTCCGAGAGAGAAAGGAAGCCAAAAGGCTCCGAGAGAGAAAGGAAGGCGAGTAGTTACTCGGCCACGTGGCTGAGTTTTGAGAGTTTCGAGAGTAATAGTAGTTGTATTTCTTCTACGACATGTCGTAGGAGTAAGGTGGTGGGGGAGGAGATGAGTACGATGAATAATATGCAGCAGCGGAGGCCGGTGAGGGTGGTGGGGTCGTGCGTGACGGTGGACTGTGTGACGGACACGTGGGTGGACGGAGATGGACTAGGGCGTACGGACGGGGAGAGGAGGATGAATCTGGAGAGGGACACGTGTCCGGGGTTTGTATCGGACGGTTCGGGGAGGGTGGTGTGGACTAATGGGGCGTACAGGAGCATGGTGGGGGAACAGGAGGAAAGGGAGACGATGGTGTGGCTGGTGACGAAGGAGAGGGCGGCGAAGGCGGTGGGTGTGATGAGTAATTACGACACGGCAGCATTCTCGTGCAGGGTGAGGGTGCAGTACAACGGGTGCGGTGGGTCGTCGTCGGCAGGGGATTGGAGCTCGTTGACGCTCCCGTGTGACGTGTGGAGGATGGAGAGTGGTGGGTTTGCGTGGAGGCTGGATGTGAAGGCTGCTCTTTGCTTGGGTCGGTAAACCGACAGGGTAAAAAGCTAGCTAGAGACGACAAGTTCATAACAAACAACTGATGAGGAGTTGCTTTGCGTTTTATTAGCAGTAAGCTTAAATGAATGACCGTAATTAACAAGTGTGAATATTTTCGGGCAATGTTTAATACTTTCTTATGTTCAAATGTCCTGTACTTTTTATTTTGGGTGCAATCAAGAACATTTTTTTCTTTGAATGGTTCACATGTGATATGATATTGAGCACTGTTTATGCACAGAACACAAACTGTACGGAGTTCGATTTTTAAAGCAAGCGATAAAGTCTTCCTCATCTCCGTTTCATTGTTCCCTCGGTTCTATTTTTTTCTCTCATATCAGAGAGAGAAAAAAGAAGAGCAATGAAACGACGATAGGAGATGGTGTGTATATTTTTCAAAGGTAAGGGCATCTGACGAGAGAGATGGTGTGTGTCATGTCATGTGGTGTTATATGGTTATTCTTTGTTGAGGTTGGAGAGAGAGAGAGAGAGAGAGAGAGAGAGAGAGAGAGA